TCCAGTCACCACAGCATTTAGCATCACGTCTTACAGATTCCACAAAGGCTCGCTAAGTTCACAAAGCCTTATTAATTCTACCTCAAAAAATGTTCCTAGATTTTAGCCCTCCTTCCAAATTCCCACAACCATAACTGCAGACCATGCTGTAACACTCATAACACCTAGACGAGCAAAATAATCTCCCAAGGGATCTCCCTGTGTACAATTTTTTCCTACTTCAGTCCATTTATGGTCAAGAGCATTTGTCCTAAAACAGATCTATTCACGTTACTTAGTCTATTGCTGACTAGAGCCTCTTCTTCCTAGAGCTGGTGGTGAGGACTAAATGAGTTAATCTACGTATGATGCTTAGAACTGAACCCTATATACAATAAACACGCTATTGCAAACTTTTGAAGCCCACAGTTGAACCCAACTTAAAGCTGCCCATGATCTGTTCTCAGGCTGACTGACTGTCCCGTGTTCTACCACATGTTCTGAAAACCCTCCGTGCCCCTGCACAGCACTACTCAGCATTCTCGCAGCATTCTCTGCCAATTCCCATGGTGCCATCCCCTGCCAAGGAGTGCCCTAGGACCCTAACTAACATTCTACCCCTTTGTGAAGACTTGCCTCCAGCTACTTTCTTTCTGGAACCTTCCCAATTTTACCAGGCTCCCTCTTCCATGCTCCTTTTAGATGGTATCTAACCTCACTTAGAGCAGTTTTTACATTACGGTTCACAAATATTTCCAGCTCTCCACCCAGACTCACTCTGGCACGGCACCACTCAGGTGGCAGCTTGCAGTTGGATGTGATCACCCGGCTTGCTTTGGTGATTGAAATGAGAGTGGAAGCTCTAAGAGCCAGTGCTTAATTCTCCATGCTCCCTCTTTGGGAGGATCCCTGATGTAGGAAGAGGCTCTGTATTTTAATCATTACTTCATCTTCTAAGGTACTTAATGCAGTACTTAACATTACGCTTAATGAATGTTTACCTGGATAATTTAATTTTCGAACAGCTATGTGAAACTTTTAACGGAAATATTTTGTTAAATTTTTCAGAGATGTTAATATTTAAGCATTTTTTGTTCTGCTTTCTAGCCCTTCAGTTTTTTGAAAAGCAGTTAATGATCTAAATATTAATAAGTATACTAGGTAGAATTCAATATTTAAAGGAACTCTGTTCTATTGGTAATTAATCACTTCTCAGTTTAATAATAGCAGATTTTCTTAAAGTTAAGGTATTAGGACATTCCAAAAAGTGAACCCCATTCTTTATGCTTCTCTTATCATACTCCTTATGAACTGTACACTCTTATGTGGAATATTAAAAAAACACAAAAGCAAGCTCATAGATACCTAGAACAGACTGGTGGTTATCAGAGGGGAAGGGAGCTGCAGGGAGGGTGAAATGGGTAAAGGGGGTCAATTATATGGTGATGGATGGAAACCAGATTTTGGTGGTAATCACGTTGTGGTGCATACAGATGTTGAACTATAAAGCTGTTCTCCTGAAACTTACACAATGTTAAAAACCAATGTTACCTCAATAAAAAGATAAAAAGGCTAAGCTTTAGATTATAACAATGACTTTCATCTTCTACTTGTGACACCTAAAGATGGCTAGCTTGATTTTTTCCTTTTTTTACCTCTGTAGATCCATGTTCTTCAGTAGCAAAGGGGGAGAGACTTTCATAGAGTTTTGTGAATGCATTCAATCCAGTCTCTACTATCTCTGCTTCAATGCTGGGATCCAAAGGTTCAGTCTCTGTGAAGTCCAGTTCCCACACTGTGTCTACCCATTCTAGTGGGAAAATGCAATTAAGTCAATAAGTGTTCTATAACAAATAAAACACCAATAATCTTTAGACTGTAGATACATTCAAGAAGAGAAAAGTTTATTAGTCCCAATTCACATTTAACTGTACAATACAGGTGTAAGATAATTAAAGGAAAGCAGAAAAGGTTAAGAAAATATTTTTTTAAAATCATAATTGACAGCTGACTATTAGGCTGGTCATCTTCTAAAAATACCAAGAAGGAAAATACGTTTTAGATATAACAGTTTTGGGAAATGATATTTCAAAACACTTAATGATCAGGCTTTCCCATACATTCAATCTGGAGAAGAAAGAGGTTAATAAAAGATTGCCTCAGATGGACCTTTGTGAAAATCTTACAACCAAGTTAATAAACTCAAATAAAGTGTACAGCACAAAGGAGCATCTGGGGTAACTGACTGTTCAAGATGCTTTGATTATTGATTCACTCTTCTCTAATCATTCTCCAAACAAATGCAATCATCTTCCTAAAAATGTTCTTGCATCTTTTCCTGCCTCTCTTTCTCTCATACATTTTCCCATTTATCTTATATGCACACCAGTATTTCTGATCTAATTTCTGGATCACAACTACCAAGTCTCAAAGAAAAAGGAAAAGTTCTCACATGAGGAGACCAATAAACTCAATAAATGATAACTACTATTATTTTTACAATGGATGAGTGTTAAAACAGTGCAGTGGGCCCTTGGTATCAGCATCCTCAGATTAAACCAACAGGGACTGGAAAGGCCTACTGTGCTTGTGTCTGTACTGAACAAGTACAGATTTTCTTTTAACATGTACAGACTATTTTTTTCTTGTCATTGTTCCATAAACAATACAGTATAACAACTATTTACATTGTATTAGGTATCATAAGTAATTAGAGATGGTGTAAAGTATATGGGATGATGTGCATAGGTTATATGCAAACACTATGCCATTTTATATAAGGGACTTGAGCATCCACAGAATTTGGCATCCAAAATGGGTCCTGGAACCAATTCCCTGCGGATACTGTAGGACAACTGAATAGATACGTAAAACACTAGACAGCATATAGAAAATATTATTGGGGTGGGGGGGGGGAGTAGGCCAGAGGTGGGAAGGATGATTCTTCAATTTGAGCATAAACGTGGGAGTTTACCAGGGAAAGAAATGCAGAAAACTGCATCCTAGACAGAGAGAACAGCACAACACAGCACAAATGGAAAGAAAGTATAACTTATTTAGAAAGGAACAAAATAGTTACAGCACTGACTGAGTGTGAAGGGTGAGAGTTATTATTAGCATTTATTCCGCAGTTACTATGTGCCAGGTACTAAGCTAATCGTCACAAAACCCATGTGAGGTAGATATTATAATCCCCATTTGACGTAAGAAAACTAAGGCTTAGCAAGGTTAAGCAAGCTGCCCAGTAACACATGGATGCTAACGGGCAGAGCCAAGAGACCACTCCCGGTATCTCCGACTCCAAAGGTTATGCTCTCGGAAAAGAAGACTGCAGTGAATGATGCAAGCTCTTATCCAGATGCCAAAGATTTGGTCATTTAGGAAACAAAGGGGAAACATTAAAGGTTTAAAGACCTGACAGGGTCACGTTTGTGTTTTCAAAAGCGATCCTGGGAGAGGTGTGGGTGATGGGCTGGAAGAGTTAGCATCAGAAACAGCTAGCAGACTCCCCCGGTGCCCAGGTTGGCTACAATGAGGGCTTAAGCCTGGAGAGCAGCCTCACGAAGTGGGGCAAGGAGGACCTGAGAGACATCTCTGACGGGAGAACAACCGCGGTGGTGAGCAGGGAAGATGCAGGCTTGTGGACTGGCTGGTGCCATTCGCCGGCTTTGGGAAGCCCAGTTTCGCTCCTGTGATGTTCGAGGTGCCTGTGACACAGCCAGCTGAACCAATCAATGAACATGCAGTTCAAGAAATAAGTCTGGCTGAAGAAATAGATTTGCTATTTAAAACCACAGGAACAGAAAAGGGTGACCGTGCAGACCGGCAGACAGAGAAGGGGGAGGCCGAGAAAACAGATGCGGAAGAACTAAAGAGATCGGACCACACAGCTCGCAACCTAACGTCCCTCTGCCGGCTGGGCACCTCCAGGAGCCGGCCAGCCGACCTCCAGGGGGCCCGGCCCCGAGGCCGCCCCCCGAGGAGAGCCGAGCGCCCCACCCCCGCCACCCCAGGCCTGGGCTGAGCGTGTCGCAGGCCCAGGCACCACCGCCCTTGCCTCCTCCAGACTCGCGGGCCCATCTCCTCACCCGGGCTGAGATCCAGCGGGCACCACGGCTGCAGGCAGCTCCCAAGGGCCGGCAGCGCCACCATGACCGCCGAGCGCCGGCTCACCTCCGCGGTGGTCAACTTTCAAAGCTCGCTCCCGCGCGCGCCCGGGACGTTCCTGCAGACCAATCACGACAGGCGGAATTTCGCACCGACCAATCACACGCTATCAACCAATCAGCAGGGCCTTCCGCCGCAGGCGCACAGAGCGGGGTGGGCCTAGGGCTGTCGACACAAACTTACACCAAGCGATTTTTTTTTTCTTTCTATTTTTAGTCGAGGTCAAGACCTAAGTTAAGGCCTAATAACGTCTTTCTCGCATTAGTTTTCTTAAATGGGAAGACACTTTAACGAGAACTTGCGACAGTACACTTCCTGAACAAGTTGTCACCTTCGCCCCGTCAAGCGACATTTCCTGTGCGTATCAAAGGGCTACCGTCCCCCCGTCAGAAGCAACCGAACGTTGTACTCATCCGAATGTGGATGGTAGCCTAACATTTACCGAACTAAAACAATAAAAGGAAAGCAAAACACCCATTCAGAAAGGACGCCTGCAGTTCTTTCCGTTCTACGGGACCTCAGGCCCCGAATTCTGCAAAGATGCCGCAGCGCCATGTCAGCTCGGGGTAGACAAGCCACCCAGCCGCCACTGCCCATGCGCGGAGAGCACGCCTCTCGCCGGCCGGCGGCGACGGCGACTGAGGCAGAGGCTTGCGCATGCGCGCGGCGACCGCAGCGCGCCGGGGTCCCCGCCCGCAGCCGCCAGCGCCTGGGTGCGTAGCTCCGCGGCAGGCCGGGCCGGCTCGCTCGGCTGCTGGGCTGCTCGGCGCCGCACCCTGCGGTGGGCGGCCTCGGCCACGCGCGTCCGGCCTCTGAGCTGCCGCGGAGCTGCGCCGCCCGCTCTAGCTGCTCTCCGCCGCCGTCCGCTCGAGCTCGCCCGGGGCTGCGGGCGCGGTGCCTCGGTCCTCCGGGCGTCGCAACCGGCCCGCTCCCTCCCGGGGCCGCGGGCTCGTTCCGCCGCCCCCGCCTGCGGCGCGGCTGGGTCCGCCTGCAGCCCTCTGGCCTTCCCGCAGGTCCCCGCCCCGGAGAGCGGAGCGGCCCTCCGAGCCCGGCCCGGCCGGCCCGGCGGGGAGATGAGCTTCTTCGGCTTCGGGCAGAGTGTGGAGGTGGAAATCTTGCTCAACGATGCGGAGAGTAGGAAGCGGGCGGAGCACAAGACGGAGGACGGGAAGAAGGAGAAATATTTCCTTTTCTACGACGGGGAGACGGTCTCCGGGAAGGTGAGCCTCGCCCTCAAGAACCCCAACAAGCGGCTGGAGCACCAGGGCATCAAGATCGAGTTCATCGGGCAGATTGGTGAGTGGGCCCCGGGCCTCCCTCCGCGGCCGTCCGCCGGGTCAGGGCGCCGACCGGGGCGGGAGAGCGGGCGCGGCGCGGCCTGCCGGACCCTTGTCCCTCGTGATCGCTCTCCCTGCCAAAGGGACCGCGCACCGCGAGGGGTGGGGGCGCCGAGGGCGCGGAAGCACGGGGAGCAGGCTTGCCGGGTGCGTCGTGCTGGGCAGCTGGCCCCGGTACCCTAGTTTCCCTTCAACCTGCCACCCAGCTTTCCTCCCTGCCTCCAGGATTTCGGAGTGAGATGCTCCTGCCATAGCCTGCAGGTGGGTTTGTTCCGGGGAGACCGTTCTTCCAGCACCGCCTTTGCCGTCGTCTGGACGTGCACAGCTGTCAGACAGATTAAGCTGGTCCTCTGTGCCTCACTTACTTGCACTCCCATCCGCTCCTTTTTCTTGTAGATGTGTTGTGAGAGGGTCGGCTCACTAGTATCTTATATCTCACCTTAGCTCTGAACTGCCTATCCTTGGACATGTTTTGAGAAAGAAGCCCTGCAGTCTTCAGCCTCAGGCTTGCTGTCTACCTAGCCGGTATTTCTAAGACTTCTTTATTAGAATGCTAGTTTTCAACTGACTTATTTTCTTCTTAAAGACAAAGAAAGACCAAAATTAAATGATCAAAATTTCTCAATGGCCCAGCAGTTTTCAAACATGATCATTAATAATTAGAACTAGACAGTAAAAAGCAGTAACGATACAGAAGGTTTTGGGAGCTGACAGTGCAGTTGAGGTTGTCTGCAATTCTAAGACTATTTTGAGTCTTGTGTTTATTAAAACTCTTAGGTCCTTCTGAAATAAATTGTTTTTGTCCTTAGGTCAGGAGTAGATTCACAATAAATACTCGTGTGAGCTGCAAAAAACCTCTGGCAGAGAATTCATACCCTGTTCCACATGCTGCATGTATACCCCTGGTTTTAGGGACTTTCTGTGAAACTTCATTAACCACTGGCTCTCATATCCTTAGATTCAGCAAACTCTCCCTTTTACAGAGGCAGGAAACACTGGCACAGGTAGGAGGAAACTGGAAAAAGGAGTCTTTATGGCCTGTCTCTGCAGTCCACTGCTCACCATTGAAGAAAATGAAATCAGCTTGAAGACTGGCTGATCCTATAGGAACCTTTATTTGTTACTTTAAATCCAAAATGAGTAGCCTTTTATGTACCAGAAAGGAAGATGAAGAATGAGTTTCATCCCCTCTGCTCTCCTGCTTCTGGCTGAGATAGAATTTCTCAACGGCAGCACTGTTGACGTTTTGGGCCTGATAATTCTTTGTTGTTGTAGGATGTTTAGCAGCATACCTGGCCTCTACCCAGCAAGTACCAGGAGCACCCCCAAATTGTGACCACAAGAATGTCTTGAGATATAGCCTTATGTCCCCGGGAGGGTGAAATCACCCCTAATAAAAAAACCACTGGGTAGACAGGATGAATCCAAAGCATTTTATGCTTAGCATAATAGATGAGAAAGTCAAAAAGGCCTTTTCTACTTAGAATTAGTATTTTAAAGTAGCAGTTTTAAACTGATTGCATGGATTCTTTGGCTCTGTAATATAAGTGTAGACAGGCACGTTTAGTCTGTGTCTCTACCATCATCCAGGTGGTGATACCTCATTGATATGTGAAAGACAACTGGCTTGTCCCCTGCCCCAGCAACATGATGAAATGAGCTGTTCAGGGGCAACGGTGTCCAGGCCTCCCTCTAGTCTAAATGACAGGAAGTGGAGGAGCCTGCTTGCTGTACTTGCTCTGCCTGGCTTCTTGTCTAATTCCTGGAATCCCAGGACAGCATCCCTGCCGAGTTTTCTGAGAACCTTCTATTGCTTCCATTAATAACTCTTCCTGGGCCCCTGAGCACTGTGTGCTGAGTTGACCCTGTGACTTTGGGGAAGCTGAGCCCCTCTCTGAGCCTCAGCTCTCTCACCTGTAAGGCAAGGATAACAAAATCACCTTGTGAGAATGTTGACATGTCAAGGGATCATGCTTCTTGCAGAGTATGGTGTATTTGTGTCATATACCTAAGACAGTCTATGAACTGACCTCAGGGTACCAGAGCGAGGCTAGTGAGTAACTTTGCTGAAGTTGTGGTCATGTGGTTTTCCCCTTCATTGCATTCTTTGACTATGTATGATGTGGGTGGAACTCCGGTCAGGATCTAACGTTGGGCTATATGGGTAACATACAGTATGGGTCTTGCTGAACGGGGGTAAGAAAGTTAATATCATTATGCTCTGTCCACCTTCTTCACTGATTTCCATTTTAACTCAGAATTTTTCTTCTTGTAAACCATAGTCTCTTGGATTGGGTTCTTTGTTTTTTCCTTCCTTTCTTCTTGGGAAGAGTTCCACAGCTTGAAAATGAAGTGGTTTATGTAATTACCCTTCTTATCCTTATGGTTAATTTCCTATCCTTCCTGAAGAAAGTGTATTTGTCCCACCTGTGTATCCATTAGAGGGACAGCCTGGTATGTAGTTGAGGGTCAAGCAGACTGGGTTACTGAAACTAGATAAGGCTTGGTCTGTGATGATACAGCCTTTGCTAGGGTCTTGTGAGGACTAGAGATAATACACGTGAAGTGCAGGGCTTGGCACATATAGTAGGTACTCAGTAAAAGAGGCTTAAGATGATCATTGTCATTTTCTTCTTCCCTATTAAGCTTGATCCATCAAGAAGTTTCCAGGGGCTAGACCTTTACAACATGTCACCCTGCAGTCACCCCTGATTCCTGTGCAGACTCTCCATGGGAAATGTTTGCTCCAGCTTAGCCTCCCCTCTGGTTTCCTTGTCTGCATCCCCACGTTGCCTTCCCAGTCTCTTCTCCTGGAAGACGTGCTAGCCCGAGTGAAAACTTTATGGAAGGGACTCTACACAGAGTCCTTGCACAGACAGCTGTTTGGTTATCTGTTGCATTGGGCCTCTTTGGACCCCCCGTTCCTCATAGTGACCCAGACCCTGTTCAGAAAAGCTCCTATCTCAGTCTTGGTTTTGGAGGTAGGCAAGAAGAAGGGTGACTTTTGTCCCCTGGCCCACATTTTTCCCTCTGTAACTTGCTGTGGCAGTCTCATCTGCACCCGTAATGTCAGTGCCTTCTTGTATTCTGATGACTCCCGAGCTGTTTCTTCGTTCTGACCTGACGTCTCTTTTGAGTTCCATGCCTGCGTTTCCAACTGCCCACTAGATATCTCCACCTGGTTACCCTACAGGCCCCTCAGAGATACATCTCAAACAGAAGCCCCTTTCTTTTTCTGCTCCAGCCCCAGCCTGCTGCATCTCCTATTTTCTCCCTTGTTGGCCTTGGCATCCCAGGGCCATTCATCCTCAGAAATCTTGGAGTCATCTGAGACCCTTGATTCCTTCTCCTACACATCCAATTGGCTTCTAAGTTTTGGTCCTCTCCAGCAGTTCTATAATGTATCTTAAGTCTGTGCTTCCTCTCCATTCTCAATGCAACTGCCCTTGTTATTTCTGTTTGCAGCAGCCTCTTAACTGGTCTTCCTGCCTTTATTTTCCTCTTCTTTCAGTTCATCTTCTGTGAGAATGAACTTTCAAAAAGGCACATCTAACACTGTCAGTCCCCTCCTTAAGATTCTTCTCATTGACTCCCTCTTGGTTAAAGGGAAGGGCGTATGCAACTGTTTTCTGAGCTGACCCCTGCCTTTTTCTCCAACCTCATCTCTCCCTAACCCTTCACCCTCACCGCTTGTAGTTTGCTCAGAGTATCATGTTCCTTCTAGTGTCTTGGCATCTTCCCTTTGTATGTGAATATCTTTCTGAAAGGCATGACCTTCCACCCAAGCTCTTCCTCATTCTTAAAGCCCAGCAAACATGACACCATCAGAAAGCCTCCCCAGGCTGGCTGAAGCACTCCTTCCCCTGCTTCTGCAGGCCTCTTTGGTACCTCTTTTTAAGCGGGACGTGACAAGCTTGTGACTTTGTTTTTTTTAACTTGTCTGTCTCCCTCACTAAATTCTGAGCCCCTGAAAGCCACGCCTGCCTCAGTCCATTGTCAGTCCACTGGCTAACCTCTTGTCTCAATGGCTAGCACCAAGTAGGTGCTCAGTCGCTGTTTGCTAAGTGGATACACTGGTCAGATCCAGGAATTTACAGAAGCTATTCCCTGGATTTTTTTCTCATCTCCTCCTGGATAAACCAGAGTTATTTTAATGAAAGAAAGGGTGAGTACAGGTTTGCTTTGCTGGTTACGCTAAGACGCGGGCTTCCAGCTTGTGCTCGGGCGGAGGTGTCGACGAGCTAGGTGCAGCCTTACTCCAGGCCACTGAGAACTGCGAAGACTGAGGGAACTTGGGTAAGGAAGCAGTATAACTAGGTGTCAGTTCACTTGCTCTTGCGTCTTTCTTTCGTCATACTTTTTTATGCCAAGTTGAAGCCGATTTCTCCCTGTATATAAGAAAACGAGTTGTCGTACCTGTGGTCCATTCAGGTCTGCACCAACGCTCTGAGGTTGCAGTTTGAATTTGCCCCCCTGAGAGTACAATAAGGTCTCACTGATTCACCTGTGTTGTATCTGTTTTTCTATTATCCTCAAATGTTTTTGAGCCACGTTGGGATTCTTCCTGCACCTACTGTACTTTTTCCTATGGCCTACTCTAGGTTCTAACAATGCCAACAAACATATGGTGAGGGCATCTCCCATGTCACTCTAGCAGCTCATGGCCCACATTTTTAGAAGAATGCAATGTGGTATGTAAGGAGCATTGAGGGAAGTTCTGTAATAGCTAGAAGAAGGAGAAGATAGAAGAAAGTTCTGTAACAGCAGAATGAGAGGCCATTTTTCAGCTGGATTAACTTGGGGAACACCAGTGGAGGATGTAAGGCAGAGCTGGGCCACCTTGGAGACTAATGGGGTTAAGTAAACCAAAGGTAATTAGAAGGTCAAACTTACAGAGGAAGGCGGACATGAATACCCTGCCCTCCGAAGCCAGAGAGATAGTACCTGGAGTTTTTAAGTTTTTAAAACTAATGCTACTGGATATACTTGAACCCGTCAGCATCAATCAAGCTTGTGCTTCTAAAAACTCCACAAGCTTTCTGTATTTTAATTCATTAACCCATGAAATGCTTAATAGGCACATTGAGATTAAATGGATTGATTCTGGCCCATTAGTAAGGTGTTGCAGGGCTTGAAGTAGAGCTGTGTTGAGGTGGGTGTGGCAGCCCAGAGGCCTTACTGCGCCAGCAAGTTGACCAGGGTCCAGGAGATGGAGTGGATGTGGCGAGCACGAGTCTTGACTGGACTGCCAGTCAGCAGACAGTGGCTGGAAAATTAGGATGAAGAGGAGGCTCTTCGGAGGACTTTTTGCTCTTGCTGACTTAGTTTCTTCCAAGATCAGCGTGAAGCCTGGACCCAACATGGCCCTGGCCCAGCAGGAACTCTCAGGGTGTCTGTTACAGGATGACCCTGTGATGCCAGGCTGGCTCAATTTCCTTCCAAAGTGGCACATTCACTCCTTAACCGTTGGTGGCAAGTTTCACCATGAAGACATCCTGACTACAAAAGTCATTTCCTCCTGTTGGACTAAGAAGGAGGCTCAAGACAGAGAAGTTACCTTAACAAAAAACTTGGTCAGTTCCTACTTCCTGCTTGAGATGACTGGTCCCTGAGGGCCTTGGAGGTTGGGGAGAACTAGAGATGACTTGTGGCTACATTTTTGGGACAGAAGAGAGGTAGTTTATAGTCTCGTTAGGGCCCAGACCTCTTGCTAGAACAGCCTTGGATTTTCTGTTTTAATTTATGCAAGAGGAAACCAAACTTTCTGGCAAATAAAGTACGGCTACTGTTTTTGCCCCTTTGCCTCACAGGGTTTGCAAAAGCATTGCAAGTGGCTTGTGAATTATAAATTAAAAAGCCCAGTCCAGCCCCACTCAGACTACACAGTGGCCACTCTTCCGTGACACTGATGAAGGAGCTGGTGCTAACATGTGTCCAGCAGGAAGAGCACTAGGGAGAGCCTGGTGCCCTGCAGGGACGGACCTCTCCTGCCAAAGGCCCGGCCCCAGCCAGCTTCCCCAGCTGGGTCAGGCACACCATTGTTTGCGTTCTCAGATGCTGGCAGCCTGGGTGCTCTCAGAGCACTCTTGGATCCCTCTCTGTTTTGTTTCTCATGTTGCCTTTGGGCTGTGTGATCATATCTGTGTATTTTTCCATACTTCTCCTTCCATCTTTCTCTTGACTCTGGGATTTCCCACTTAAAGTTAATGGACGTTGGGGTTTTGCTCTGCCTGCTGTTTTCTCCTGAAACTATGGCCAGAATCCAGTGCTTGGGAACTGAGGTACCGGGTTTCCCCGCTAAGGGAACACTTCCCGTGTAGGAGCCAGGACTGTCAACAAGGGCTCTTGTAGCAGTGGACCAGGAAGAGTAAGTGAGGAGCCCTAGTCATGGGCTGGCAGTGGCTCTGTTCCTACCCAATCACTGCACTTCTTTACTTTTATTGGGGGGCACAGTTACTGGCTTTTAAAATGAGCAATGGGTTACTCACCTCACCTGAGCGTTTCCCCACACAGTTTGTGACTTTCGTCTCCCATTTAGCAGTTTTGTGGATCTCACTACCCAGAATGCTGACCACTGCTGATTCCATTTAGTGTTTGGAAGAGAAGGTGGATTGTTTGTAATATAAGATGGATCAAAGTGTAACTACATAGAAAATCAGCAACAAGCTGTAATCGCAGAATACCGTGTACATTCATACAGAGGTGGCAGCACTAGTTTGGATTAACCACACTCCTGCCACCTTCACAGGTGAATAAATCTTAGGACAGGGCCCACTTGGCTTTAGAATGTCTCCCTCTCTGGGGTAAGAAGGTTCCCTGTGGAATAGGTTTGTCAGGGCCAGCCCTAGGGCAGCAAGGGGTTGACTTTGCACTCAGGCTGAAAACACCGCCTGAGAGCATTTTCTCCTTCTGGACACGGTTCTTCCCAGCGCAGGGCTGGACACTGCATTGGCTCTTGGGAGGCAGGAGATCTGATTTCTTGGGCTCAAGAAAGCTTCGATCCTTATCAGGGTTCAGACGTTGTGCTGTCCAGGTGGACCCAGAGCAGATGCAGCTCTGCCCCCTGCCCCTGATGCCCAGGTTATCCCTGAGAGAGATCGCCTGCTGTGCTCTGGAGACTTGGAACCAGGCCCAGTTGCCGGTTGTCCCAGACACTCCTCTCTGTGGACCTGTCTATTTGTCCCCAAGCAGCCAACAGCAGAAATGGCAAATATACTCTGCCTGGTCCATTTTCCTGGGTGGTCTGCACCCCTGCAGTTTGCAGCTTAGCATAGGACTGGAGCCCAGAAATACCCGAGGGGTGGTACCTTGACTGATGTGGCCATGGGTAATCACAGTCAGTATGAAGTGTCCCTACCGCACAGCCAGGTACTGGGGGGTGCCAGGAAGCTGGGGATTTAGGCCTTCTCTAAAGATCATGCATATAGCAGAAGTTAATGCTTAAATAGCACAGCACATACAGACATAAAATAATGTAGGACACATGGTGGCACGAACTTACAAAGAAATACCAGAACTATTGCCAGAGGAGGATGAATTTAGAGCAGTGTTCCTTAAAGTGTGGATCCTGAACCAGCAGGACCAGCATGCCCTGGGAGCTTGTTAGAAATGTAAATTCTCGGGCCCTGCCGCAGACCCCCGATTCAAAAACAGTAGGGTGGGGCCCAGCAATCTGTGTTTTAACAAACCCTCCAAGTGTTCTGATGCTCACTGAAGTTTGGGATAACATTAAAGCTTCTTTGTGAGATTGGCCACATGCATGCCTTTTTGAGAGAGAGTAGCAGCCAGTGGCTAATACTGTTTGAGCATCTGCTCTCTATTAGCTGCTGTTGTAGTCCTGTCCCTGCTTTACCACCTCTCTTTCTCACAAAACCTTAGGAAGTGGGCTGTGTTATTACTGCCACGTTAGCAGGTCCGTCCTAGCTATCTCGCAAGGTTGTTATACGGATGATATGGTTAAGTAACTATGAATATGCTTTCAAAAGTTAGAAATAGATTTAAACATGTGTTTAGAGAAGTGTGTTTGTGATAGCGCTTCCCCTGATGTACTGCTTGCTGAGATGCTGCCCTGAGGTCCTGGAGCAGGTTACACTGGGTTCTTACTGGGCCGCAGGATTTCTCTGTATGGAACGGAAGAGTGTTTGGAAAGGTAGGAGGGAGACAGAGCAGCATGCGGGGATACCGTGAAGGGGTGGAGTAGGAGAAGGGAGGAGTCAGAAACAAGGCTGGAGGAAGTCTGTTTTGTGGGGAGGGCTTTCAGAAGCAGGGTTCCTGCAGCCTGGAGCCCCTTGCTAGGCCTCGTGTAGCTCGGGGTCTGGTAGAGGAGGCTGATGCTCTCTCTCCAGAACTCTACTACGATCGTGGGAACCACCATGAGTTTGTGTCCCTGGTGAAGGATTTGGCTCGGCCCGGAGAAATTTCTCAGTCACAGGCCTTCGACTTTGAATTCACCCATGTGGAGAAGCCGTATGAGTCCTACACAGGGCAGAACGTGAAGCTGCGGTAAGTCGTGCCCGTCGTTTACTCACATTGCTCCAGAAGCTGCCCCATGTGGATGAGGACCTGAAGCTGTCCACATTTCTGAGGATCTTTTTATGGGTATCAAGAAGGAAAAGTGCTGAGAGCAGTGTGTGCTGGTAAATGTTTGACAGCAGGCTCTCTGCGAGGAGAAACTCCTCCTAGCTGGTCGCATTTGTCGGTTTCCATAGTGTAAATGTTCCCCCCATGGCCTATTTCAAGCTGCCAGCCTGATGTCCTTGAATGCAGAATTGGAAAGAGGTGTACAGTAGCCACCTATATGTAGCATTACCATCGTACGGAGACACTAGGTGTAAACTCTAGCAAAATAATTAGGAAGCAGTGAGTTTTTAGTGTGTAGTACCTTTGTTTTTAATACAGTACAGTTAGTTGTAAGTTTATATAATTTAATTATAAATAATTGCTGTGTTTAACAACCAATTCATAAAATTCCTGAAAATTCAACAATTGGCTTTTGTACACTGGTACAAGCTACCTCCAGCACACCACTGGCTGGGCATCAGGACATACTGAGCCTTGGTCCAGCTCTGCCACACAACAGCAGTGTGATCCTGAGCTCTGTCACTCCGCTTTCTCACTTGAAAAGTGGGTAAAAGATTTGGATTCTAATTCTAGATCTGTCTTCTCCATATTTTGAGGTGATGAGAGAATAAGACGTTGATGCCATGTGACAAGTTCTTAAAAAATTAATAAACATGATTTAAGTACATGGGATTGTTTTTATTATTCCAGTCTTGGAAACTGAGGATAGGAACTGACCCTAGGGCCTCTGGGGTAAAAAAAATCCACGGCAGGTGACTCTTGGATGTCACCCGAGATTATGTGATGTCACTGGGATACTTCCTCCATCACTCTGGACAGTGGGTTCCAGGTCTTGATGCTGTCTCATAAGGTCAGCTTGTCTTCATCACCTCAAGGCCTGGGTTTAGGATGGTGCAGACTGCAGCAAGACCATTCCTCCCTTCTTTCTCCCTGGCCTCCCCTCTTCCATCGGAGGAGTGATTGTAGGCTCCTCTTTTTCAGTCTTTGCAGAGAGATCTAAACACTTGACGTGACCCCCACTAAGGACAGCATTTCATACCTGCTCTTAGAGAAGACAACAACGCTGAGGATTATCTAGTCGTCACCTAAACGTGGCTGTGGGATTTAGTGTTATTTAATTTTATTTTTGGGGTGGATTTCTCTTAAATGTTTTTATGTTAGAAAGAAACGTGTTGAAAACAGTATGGCAATTCATCAAAATATTAAAAACAGAATTACCATAAGATCCAGCAGTTCCACTTCTGGGTATATACCCAAAAGAAGTGAAAGCAGGGTGTGTACACCCACGTTCATAGCAACATACTCACAAGAGCCAAAAGGTGGACACAACCTGACTGTCCATCAACAGATGACTGGATAAACAAAATGTGGTGTGTACATGCAATGGAATGTTATTCAGCCTTGAAAAGAACAAAATCCTGTCATATACCATGACATGGATGAATCTTAAAAATATAATGCTAAGTGAAATAAAGCCAGTGATAAGGAGACAAATACTGTGCGATTCCACTTATCTGAGGCACTGAGAGTAGTCAAAATGGTAGAGAAAGAAGGTAGAGTGGTGGCTACCAGAAGCTGAGGGGATGGGCAGTTAGTGTTTACTGGGGACAAAGTTTCAGTTGGGGAAGTTGAAAAAGTTCTGGCACTGGATGGTGGTGATGGTTGCACAACGATATGAATGTACCTAATGCCACTGTACACTTAAAAATGATTAAAATGGTAAATTTTATGTTATATATATGTATTGTAGGGGAGGAAAAACACTTTTTTCTCTACCCATCTTAGGTTCATTGGCTGAGGCCCTGCAAATTAGACTGAGAAAAGACAGATGAGCAACAGAAAAACAAGTTTATTCACGTGTGCATTGTGCATACATGGAACTTGGTGATCAGTAACTCAAAGGGGTGGTTAGAACTTAGACTCACGTGGGCATCTTAACAGAGGAACAGTAACTTTACAGAGAAGTGCCAAGACTTTGAGCTTCTAGAGGCAGCAGATCGTAGGAAGGTGCCTACGTGGGGGAAACAATGGAAGATGAGGTGGTTTTAGCAAGCTTTGTTAGGTATATTTCTCTGGTGCAGTGTCTAGGGATTAAGAAGGTCCTGCCCTTCATGGTAGAGAGGGGGAGGGCAGACAGTTTTCTTGTGTCTGCTCCTGTTCAGTTGCTTTCAGCTCAATGTAATCCTTATGCCAGGATTTTGGGGTGGCATACTCTGAATTCCTTCTATATTTTACCACAATAAAAAAAAAAAGTGTTGCTGTCCAAATGAGATGAAGACTTTAGGGTTCATGTTGAAAAAGAGAGGAAGTAAAGAAGGGACAATTAGTTCAGGGCAGTTTATAGAAGATGTAAATTCCAGATTAAGAGCTGTTGTCTTATTACATAGGCAGAGAGAAAACATGAAAAGATTGTTTTGGACTCTTTTCTTTTTAGGCAGGGTTTTGGTTCTTTTGGAAGATTAATTTAAAGTCAGTATGTAATATTTGATGGATGGGAAGAGTGTGGAGACAGACTGTTAGAAGGCTAGGATGAGGTGCCACGAGTTAATGGGAACAGGCAGAAAATGGGGAATTTAATAGACATCAACGGAATTTACCAATGAGTGGAAATACAGACCAAGGGCTATCAGGAGGAAGAGATGATTTGTAGAAAAGATGATTCATCCAATTTTAAAGTTTGAAGCACTGGCAGAATAGAGAGGTGTAAAGCTGACTAGACAATTGGAAATGCAAGCCCAGCAGCCAGGATGGAGAAGGGCACTGTTGGGAATCGGCTCCTCAGAGGTAATAAGTGATAGGTTGTTGAAGGAGGAGAGCTCAGGGCAAGAGGAGCCTGGAACCCACAGGAGTACTGGGGATATGAGGAGGAGGAAGGCGGAGGTGAAGCAGGGTAATAACCTGGGGAACCAGGGAAGAGCGTTTCAAGGAGGAGGAAGTGTTTTACACTCTAATGGAGAACTGATGCCAAAAAAAGGCCACTGGATTTGGCAAGTGGGAGGCCATGTGTTACCTTCGGGAGGGCAATTTCTGTTGGGTGGTAGAGAGAGAAGCAAGGGTCAGGAGTGGCAACGGGGGAAGAAGCTGCACTAGTTAGAACAGGACCCCTCGGTGACAGCTGTTTCTGAAGAAAGGTGTCAAGAGGGTAAGGCCTGGAGGGTGTTGTGGGGATTGATGAGTTTAGGACTTTGTATAAACTCAAAGGATTCAGAAGCCTTTAGCTGGAGAGAGATTGAGTGTGCTGAAGGATCAAGGTGCTGGACAGTGGTTCCCTACCAAGTGCCCATTAGAATCTCTGGGGAGGCTTATAAATGTCAATGCCTGCATCCCTTTCCAGGACCTGTACATGCCAGATGTGCCAGGGCTTCAGGATTTTTAAAGCCTTTCCCCGGCGAGTGATTGTAATGTGCTTCCAGATTGAGAGTTATTCTGCCAGATGGAGGAGGAGAAAAGGTTTTGAGAGAGAGAGGTACTGTTGGAAGGAGGAAAGGATGGGCAAAGATACAGACACACACCTAGGCCCTAAGTAAGAAACAGCACAGAGCAGAGAAGGGAGAAAGCTGTAAATCTTGACTCCGAAGGTCTTCTCAGCGGAGTAAAAATGATGTCCTCCACAGAGAGGTGGAGGGGAGGCTTGAGAGCCTGAGCAGTTTGAAATGGCTTAGGAGCAGATGTCTTGAGGAATGTGAGGCAAGTTACTGAGATGAATAAAAGGATTGCCAAAATGCAGTTTGGGCCACACAGAGGAGAGTAGCCTAAATGTGTAGTTGATCTGGTTAGCAACTTTCTCCAGGAATGCTTGACAGGCAGTGGGCATCATGTAAGTTTTATTTAGAGGAAAATATAACTAAAGGGGTGTTTCTTCCCTCATTGGGTGTTAGCATAAGTCAAGGGGACAGGGATACTGGGGAAGGCCATGCTGAAGTAGCTGGCCATAGAGGCCAGGCTCGGCATACTAATCCCTCCAGGGGCTGTGTCTCTGCCTTCCTTCTGACTTACCCCTAGCTGCCACAGGAGCCCCTCCCCTAGCATCCTAGGTTCAGCAGAGGCTTTCTGAGTTCATAGCAGGTCCTCTCTTCCCTCTGCTGCTTTACTGACAAGGTTTGCTATTCCTGAATGCCCTTCTGTCTTTCCCTATAGCACCTGATTCTTGTATCTGAATGAGCACTTGCCGTGTGTTCTAATTTTTCTGTTTATTTCCCCATCCCCTCGGTGGACTCTGAGCTTCTCATGACACTGTGTCTTAATCATCCTGTGCCTAACAATAAATGTTTGCTGAATGACTAACTGACTTAATTTCTCCATCCCCTATTCTTCTCTTTTAACTGTAAGGGACTTGAAAAATGCTCCTTGATTGATATTGTTAAATAAGCAGGCATGCATATATAAGAGTATAAGAGAGGTCCCTGTGCCCAAAAAGTCAGGAGTTAGTTGAAGAACTAAAACCTGTTCACAAATAGATGATAGATAGTGGTGAGGGCCATGAAAGACTTAAAAAGAGCATGCTATTGAAGTATGGAGCAAGAAATCACTTTTACTTAGAACAGGGTTCTTAGCCCAGAGCATGGGCTCCAAAAGGCATTTGGGGGAACGGTCTTTGAACTCCCTGGAATTGTAATTAGAAATTTTGTGTATAAGTGCATATGTCCATTTTTTCTGGAGGAGAGTCTGCAGAGGCAAATTCACAAAAGATTACAAAGCCCCAGAGGTTAACCACTGTAAGGGGTTTCTCAAGTGGGTCAGTTCGGTGCGTGAACCGGGTAGCATCTGAAGACTGGGAGTGTCCCTTCATGACATGTCTGTCTCCACAGGTATTTCCTTCGAGCCACCATCAGCCGCCGCCTCAATGATGTTGTCAAAGAGATGGACATTGTAGTTCACACACTCAGCACGTACCCAGAGCTGAACTCCTCCATCAAGATGGAGGTCGGGATTGAGGACTGCCTGCACATCGAGTTTGAGTACAATAAATCCAAGTAAGTGTCTGGGCCCCCACAGCTGTGGAGGAACTCATTTAGGGATATTAAGAGAGGACTCGGTCAGAATGCAAAGCCTGAGCCTCTTGCCTCTGCTGGGTCGTGGTGGCATGCTGTGCATACTTAAACTAAACTATATTAAATTAAGACGGTAAATTTAAGCTAAACATCCTATGCTGTCTTTCAAAATCAAGCTAAAATAACTATAAGGTTATTTGTTTTGGATTCTATGTACAGCTATTTCCTTCTGCTGATGAGAAGAATCTCAGAATACCATTCCAGTATTGTTTGTATCCTACATACTGTATGTCTTGAGAAATCGAAGTGAGGAAGCCGGACACCACCAGAGTCTGCTGCCTCCTCCCTGAGCTGAATGAACTGTGGCCAAGAATGTTTGATGCTTTTTTATAAAGATCATTAGATAATTTTATTTTAACTGGCAAGTTGGGAAGCCACGTGTGTTTTAAACTATGTTGACTGTTAGAACATCAAAATATTTGTGTGTAAATCACAAAACTTGCAGTTCAAAAATGTACCATAAGCGCCTTTCTTTTCAATATAATATATTGCTGAAAATGTTTGAAAATCAAATATGCAGAAGTAAAAGTGTATTCTAGGGGGCTGGCCTGGTGGTACATGCAGCGGTTAAGTTCACGTGCTCTGCTTCAGCAGCCTGGGCTTTGCTGGTTTGGATCCCGGGCATGGATCTGTGCACTGCTTATCAAGCCATGCTGTGGCAGGCATCCCACATATAAAAAATAGAGGAAGGTGGGCACGGATGTTAGCTCAGGGCTAATCTTCCTCAAAAAAGAAAAAGAAAAAGTATATTCTAGTCACAGAGAGGTGAAAAAAAAAGTCACAGTCTGTAACTAAGCTGCTCACTGTGGAGAGACCCTCCCATCAGACCCACCATCACCAGAGGCTCAGGGGTGTGAGGACCAAGCCAGATGAGTCTCTTGTGAAGGGGCTGAGAACAGGATGTTTTTAAACTAGAATCATTTGTTGCTTCCTAGAACAGGGGTGAGGGAAAGATGTATTTTTTTCCCTGCCCCCTGGCCTAGAACCAAGTGTCGCCCCCCAGATCGGGGGATGAGCTGGGAGGGAGGGCCACCTGGACCTGGCGGGGCATGCCGAGGAACAGGCTTCTTCCCTTCTCCACAGCCTCAGGGCTCTGTGCACCTTCCTGGAAAGGAGCCAGCAGAAGTGCCTGCCCACCAGCACCCAGCCACCTGGTGAAGGGGTAGCTGGGAGGCAGTTCCCCTTTGTGGGAGCTCAAAATAGCCATCAGTCAGCAGTGTGTTCAAGACCAAATTTAGTACGAGAAAGGCACTTTAGAGAGTCAGTTCCGTGCCCTCAAGGACTGGATACTCCCGACCCTGGCCCTGCACCGGGTGAGAACAAGCGACCTTCTATATGACGTAGCAGAAAGAGCCCGGTGCTCGGAATTGGGTCCTTTTCTGCCACAAACAGGTTGGGCTCAGGTTAGCAGGTACTAAAATGTTTGTACCTTGGGTTTCTTATCTGAAAATGAGGGGCTTGGATCAGGTAAGTGGGTTTCAAACACACACACGGAAAGGGCAATGTGAAAGGAGCTGGGTCATGGCTCTGGGCCCCCCACGAGAGCAGCTCTTTGGTGTTTCTTCCACATTAATGCTTCTGCTGAAGATTTCATTTAGAATAAAGGAATGTTCTATTTATAAAAGTTTGAAAACCCCTGGAATCTGTGATCTCTAAGCATTCCTTCTAAACTGCTGTGAGTGGCCTATACTCTGCTTTTGTGAGTGTTCTTAGGTTATCTGCTTGGAGTCTGCAGTCTTCCCACTTTGATTATAAGCAGAAAGGTGGCATGAAATGGGGGGGGGGGGACGGACGCATGCCTAGGAATTAAGAACCTGGGTTCACATCCTGTGTCTGCCCCTACTCCAATCCTAGTTAAATTGTTGATCTTCTTCAAACTTCGTTTTCTTCACCTGTAATATAAGGAGGTTAAATTCTACAGTCCCCACCAACACTCGGGTGCTGTGATTCTGAGCTTCAGGTCTGAAGCTCGTGCTGTCTGTCTGCCATGCCTCATGCACAGTCATGCACATACAGCCCAGCAGTCCTGTTGACTGGCCCAGAGGAAAGCTCCAAGGGTCAGAAAGGGTTAGGCAGCATGGCTGATTCATAACGGCGCACACAGCACAAGCCATGTGAGCAGAGCCCGGAGTGAAGGTGCCGATGGAGCATGAGGTGTGCATCTTGCTCTGCTCCTTCTGCCTGGCCTGTCAGGTCCACAGCAGACAAACTGTTTGCTGCGGGCCATTGAGGGTCAGTTCCCAAAAGACATTTTGTGGAGCTCAGAGAGGAAGAGCGAGACCTGGTTCCTGCATTTGTAGGACTGGCCTCTCACATTTTAGGATATCTAAAGAAAACACATACACAAATGCAAAAGGTATGAAAGAAGTGAAAGTAGTAAAGAGGTAGATCAGACGAGTCAGCATGAGTGGGTGATGTAACATGCCGGAAAAACATCCTTTGGGTTGTATATGGAAGAATGGAGGGGACAGAAGTTACTTTGATTCAAGTAAAGAACATACTGGGAAATCATTCTGCAGTGGCAGGGTGGGTGGAGTATGGCTGAGTGTGCACTGCAGCTCCATCTTTAGCGAAGGTGCATAGCAGCGTCTGCTCCCCTGGATCCACAGAGGCTTGTAAATGTGCAAAGGCTCAGCTGCTATGCACACTTCTTATTTTCATTACTTTCTCTTCCCTAGATACCACTTGAAAGATGTCATTGTAGGGAAGATATACTTCCTGCTGGTGAGAATCAAAATCAAGCACATGGAGATAGACATCATCAAACGGGAAACGACAGGCACGGGCCCCAATGTGTACCATGAGAACGACACAATAGCCAAGTATGAGATCATGGATGGAGCGCCCGTAAGAGGTGAGCCGCAGCTACCACAGCCTTCCTCCTAAAGCCTGCACAGGATTTGGGAGGGCTGAGGGATTGTACTGTTAACATAAGATTTCCTATTAACCTATAATTTCTCAGTCTCTAATTGTACACTGTGGGTCCCACCAGGGAAGAAAAGGAGGGCACAGTCTGTGGAACAGCAGGCTCCTACCGCGCCTTCAGCCAGGAGAGCTCCACCTGGACCTCGTTTATACACTGAGCTTGCACTAGATGATGGTGTCTCCAGGGTTATGCCTGTTAAAAAACAAAAAAGTGAAAAGTCCTGCTTTAGGAGATTGTGGTTTAAACATTTTATTACTGTATCCCATTGGCATTCTGACATTCTTTGATGCTAGAGAACAAGAGATTAATGCAAAATAGTCATTTTTGTTACTTAGTTCTAGCTCTGGTAATTCCTCTCTGAATTCATTCACCAAGTTTAGATACCATGGGCAGCACTACCAGGTGCTGCAGACAGCACTGGAACCAGACCAGACGAAAGCGGTCCTCTCCCACCCCCACAGAGCTGACACAGCATCTGGGGTGAAGTTGAAAGCTTTGTTATTTGGGTATTCTATGTGATTATTTGCAAGCAGCAATCATTTATGTTCTTCACTGGCTTTGCAGCAATTGATGATAAAGAATGTGGTTTTTCATTTAGAAGTGCTTGGCGATGCCAAGGTTTTATTCAGTTTATTCCCAGCATCTGTTCCATGTTGAAGGACGGGTGTCAAAGATTTAGCAGATCGGAAGACTGGGGACACTGACAGCAGATTATTGGATGTCACCATGCCATGTCCTTGGGAGGATTGAACTGAGCTCTCTTGACTCTCTCTATTTTCCATTTTTTCACCAGCTGTGCATGGAGAGACAGTTTTCCTGTACAAATGAAATGGGGCACTGAGAAATGATACAAAACAGCAGATAATTAAAAGTTCGTTTCTATTTAGCTTTAGACTACATTATAGGTTTGGCCTTTCTCAGTAGAATTACTGCCCTAATTTTGTTCCTCTTCGACCAGGAAAGGCATGATGTTAGAGGTGGAAAGGATCTAAAATATTACGTAGTCTGATCCCATAATTTTCCACATGAGAAAATTAAGGTCCAGAGAAAGCAACAGACTTACTCATAACTCATACAACTGGTTATTGGAGACCTGGGACCAGAAGGAGGATTTCCTGTTTCCCAGACCACTCTCCCACCCTGTGATCCATCTGGGAGTGGAGATGTATTTAGGGGCAAACACTAACTAGCATGGAAGGAAGTGATGTCAAAATAGCTGGGTGACAGGATAGTTAGCTGAGTTTTGACAGTTGACTTTTGAAAACCCAAAAGCCAGACACATTGCATGTCATCAAAAGATGCGTAACAATAACATCCCTGTGCTGTTTGTACTCCCTGGTCTCTGGATTGGGATGGTGAGAGGACATTCAGATGATGCAATAGGATGGGGAATGGAATTGCAGAGCCACGATTTTTGCTTCTGCAAGTCACTGGCAGCAGAATGCAACTTCCCAAAAGGCAGAAGCATTTGCTTGAGTGTTCTGTGTCATGCTCAGCTGGCATCTGTCCCCCGCTGAGATCAGAGAGGGACTTGGTATAGGGGAGAGAGGGTCACTTTGCCCCTCGGTCTGATTCCCGCCTGGCCCCTACAGGAGAGTCCATCCCCATCCGGCTCTTCCTGGCGGGTTACGAGCTCACCCCCACCATGCGGGACATCAACAAGAAGTTCTCCGTGCGCTATTACCTCAACCTGGTGCTGATCGATGAGGAGGAGCGGCGCTACTTCAAACAGCAGGTGAGGCCAGGCACCTCCTCCAGACCTCTAGAGACAGAACAGGAAGGGCACCACCCCTGCGAAGATCAGGCTCCATTTCTGACAGGGTAGGCAGAACGGTACAGGGGAGAGAGCTTATTAGTCTCTGTGCCACTTGTTGGTTTACCAAGAGGTAGAAACTGGATTACCCAGAGTCCCACAGCAGGAATGAGGTCCCCACTTAATGCCTAGAGTCTGCCTTCTCGGGCCCAGCCGCTGCAATCACACTGCCCTTCCAGTCCATGCAATCAAAAGGGGCCCTGGGGACGGGGTATATGGACAGCTGCTGTCTTTGGCGAGAGATAAACAGAGGAGGTTTTTGCCTAAGATTCTCTAGGAGAAAGTTGGAGCCTCTGGGAAGCCCATCCCCATGCCTCCCTCTCTCAATTCTGCAGGAAGTGGTGTTGTGGCGGAAGGGTGACATCGTACGGAAAAGCATGTCCCACCAGGCAGCCATCGCCTCACAGCGCTTCGAGGGCACAACCTCCCTGGGTGAGGTGCGGACCCCCAGCCAGCTGTCTGACAACAGCAGCAGGCAGTAGGCCCCCAGGGCCAGGCAGCGGCTGGGCTTCCACCCCAGCACCCCCATCTATCAAACACCAGCGGCTGGGGGAAGGGGGAGGACGGTGTGATGCTCAGCTGACCCATTTCTTGCAACCTGAAAACAAATCATGGTTTTGACTTAAATTCTTTCTTCTGAAGAACCTAAGGGGCTTGGGTTGGGACACCATCTCCTTGTGATCCTGTGGCTGATGTGGGAATGGGGAGAGGCAGCGTCCTGGAAGCTAGTCTCTCTGGGAAAAAGAGCCTTGTGTTGAGGCCTTTCACACAGGACTGCCTCGGGTCTTACAGGAGAGCAGAGACCAGGCGTTCTTGGCTCCTGGTTCTCCGAGCTGCCTGATACAGGGTCTGAGCTGCCAGTGGGGCCCTGGGTAATCATGTCTTGTCCTCCTCTCTGCTGTCCCTGAGGTAGTGGCCGAGGAATGGGGCCTGCCCTGTCCTAAGTGGCAGGGGGAGACTCAAGCCCGGGAAGCTACCTCTTTGGGAGTCTTGGATGTGGTGCTTTGAAGTTCCCACAAGCCACCTCCTTTCTGGCCTTTCTCTCACTGCTGGGACCCAGGCATAGTCCTTCTCTGTCTTTTGCGAATTCTGGTCAATAACGTCCTGGAACAGAAGCTTGTGCAAGGGGCTTTGGCTGACTGTCCCCTCACCCGTGAGAAATTCTGGGCCCAGTGACACCCAGGGTCAGCGTGACGCACAGATGGCAACAGAGTTGAACACAGGCCAGGCCTGCTGAGGAAGAAGTATGGTAACTGCATGGCACTGTCTGCCTGCCCCATGGGACTCCTCCCCAGCCTGAGGGCTGGGTGGTTCAGGTGTTGCTCCGGGTGCCAGCATCCTAAACAAGGGCATTTGTTTCCTTTAAGAAGAGATCCCATGACAGGGCCTTGATCGCTTTGCTTCCCTAAGAGTGGGTCCTCATCACTCCTTGCTCTCCATTGAATTTCTGGGAATTGGGGCTTACTCTCACACAGTTGGAAGTTTTCTCTTACTATCGCCCAAGCCCCTTCACTACCTGCCTGCCACTTAGAGGAGGGAGATGAGGACCTCAGCAGAAGACTCTACTACACAACTTCAGAATAATTCTGCTTGCCAAATTATGTCTTCATCTTCACCATTGACTGACCAGAGATTAGGACCATTGGTGTTTTTGTTTAAAAACATACAGAAAAACTCTCATGGGTGTTCTTGTCATACTACAGGAGGGAGGGGTTTTCCTCTGTTGTGCTGTGCTCAGGCCTGTCACAGTAAAGGTGTTGACATCCTTTTTCGCCTCATTTGGAAATGATCAAGATTACTCTCCAGTTGGCCTCCCTTCCCTTCCAAGAAAGACCAGGCAGACCCCACTGGCCAATAAGTACAATATTTGGTGGTCTGAGTTCTCTGTAATTTGGAAAGCAGAGGGGTTGGTTCCTGTGTCATCTTTCAGTTAATGTGGGAAACGGGGACTCCTCTTTTCCTCAGAAATCAGTGCAGTCGTGGGCCTTTGACTGAGCAGGGCTCATGGATCAGAACTGAGACTGGAGGGAAAGGCATTTGGGATGACACTTGAGGTCGACTGGGGGCAGCAGAACCAAGGAAGGTAAGGTGGTTTCCCCCATGCTGGACCCCGAGTTCAGGTGTGACAGACAATCCCCTGGGAACAGGATCCCCCATCCCACTGCCTTTGGATTATCACGGTAGGGGCTTACTTGTACAGGGGAGGCAGGTCCTGTGTTCCTGGCCGTGGCCTTGGGAGCATGAGACTAGGCTCTAGGACACCCCCCAGAATAGCTGGTTTCTAACTAGGAAGCATCTGCCAATTCCTCTGCCCCCTAACTGACAACACAAATTCATTTTCCAACTTGCCTAACATCTTAAACCTTTCTTCTGGGAGAACTAGAAGATAGAATCTGCTTTTATTTTCTCAAGAGCTGTGCACAAGTCAGGCCTTCTGTTTTCTCATACTCTGCCCCCATCCTGTACTTCTCTGTCCAACTGTGGAAGTAAGGGGAGGCTCCTGTCCCCCTCCTTTCAAGGTCCACATACCTGGGAGTAGATACGTACTAAACCAAGCAGTGCAACTTGTAATTAAGCAGCTGCAGTGTTTACATGTTTCTTAATGTGTCGTCTTTTCAATGGCTGTATTTTAAAAAAAAAAAAAACTCGTTTCAGTTGTCTCTCTGATTAAAGGAAGCCCCTGTGGCTTGGAGGCATTGTGCCCATGGTCCACCAGGTTCTGTGGTTTCTTCTTACAGTGTCCACCTCACACACAGGGGAAGACAGATCCCTACCCTGATCCAACACAGCACCTGCCCTCTCCATGTCCGTGGCCCCAGGGAACAATGATGAGTGAGTGCTTTATTAACACCTGTTTTGGACAAGCACATGGGTGAGAAAAGAATTCCGATTTTATGCCTACCTGGCAACTTGTCTTGAAACTGCTGATGGTTTAAACCCCTGTGGGACCCAGATGACTTCAGGGGCAAGTGAGGAAGGCTGGTGCAGAAAGCCAAGAGTTCGTTGCAGCGGGTGTTATCAGACTGAGCCCTACACCCTGGTGTTTGCTCCGGTGGAGGCCGGGGGTAGAAGTAGCCCTGCATCTGGACGAGGGGCAGGAGGAGCCAGGGGAGCACTCTTGTTACACCCAGTGCTGCTTTAACAGAAAAGCTTTCCAACTTTGATAGTAATGTTTATTGAAAAAAGTACACAAGAACCACCTACGTACACAACCCAAGGCGAACATAATAAGCAAGATCTTCGTGCCTTCTTCTGTCTCATGAAAGCTTGACTACTTTGGAGTAATGTCTTCCCATTCCAGCAACAGTGTCTCAGTTAACTCGGTTCTTCTTCCTCCAGGCTCAAAATGAAGTCAAACTCCTCTACCAAAAAGGGGAAAAAGAGAGGGAAGAATTAGGTCTTGTGTCTCCTCTTGAACAGGGAAGTTATGCGAGGCCTTTCACATGTTACCGATGCAGGTGGTCATGCATTCAGACTATTTACAGACTGTTGTACTATGTGCGGGGCACTGCAGGGTACCGGGCACATAGTAATGGGTAACTCAGAACATATTTCCTCCCTCGTGGATGTTAGAGGGGAGGAGACAGACTCAGAGAGGCTAAATATTGTGCCCCAGCTTAATCAGCTAGTACATGTGAATTCATGGGTCATTCTGGTATGGGTAATAAAGGAAACAGCCTGCTCTTACCTTGGGTCACGGGCTGAATGGAGAGTCTCTGGCGAGTGAAGAGAACCATATTTTTTAAGGGGCCACCAGTGGCTTTGTGAGCTTGGTGATGGGTTTTGAGCTCAGCCAGGGAAATGAAACGCTTCATCATCCGAACAAATTGTACATCCACCTAGGTGACAGGAGTGTCCGGGACAGAAAGACAAGTCCAGCTAGAACACTGTGTTCTAGCTGCTTACAGGAGGCTCCTATGGGCAGGGCTGCCAGTGTTCTGTTCTTAGCTCCCAAGTAAGGTTAACCTCATCTGAGTAAGGGCTGGGCTCCATACCTTGACCTAAAGACACCTCAGACCTTCTTTCTCCCTCTCTGGCCACCCTTTCCCACTCATGAAATAGGAAAAAGTAGTCTTTACCATCGACCATTTGGGGTTGTCTTCTTTGCTGGATGGATCATAATGGGGATTGTTTTTCTCAAACTGTGTATGGTCTGGGTAAGCCTCCTTCACAATCTGAAACCAAAACCAAGTCTCCACTCATTTGCCTGTACAGTCAGCTCCACAGCCAATCTTTAATCCAAGTCCAGCTGTCATTTCTGACCCTGCACATTCGTACCCCATATGCCTTGCTGTAGAGCCAGTAAGGGCTCAGATATCTGGAAATAATACACAGTCTAAGGCAAGCATAGGAAATCAACCCTGTTTTGACAAATGTCTTAAAAGTATGTTCTCCAATCAAATGTTAAAGGTTTTTGGTACCACTGTTTTTCCAGCTGCAGTTAATAATTATATATATCCTGGTAACTGCTGTCTTGGAAGAGCTACCATCAGGCCTGTTTTTGAGTGAAAGACTAGGTGTAGAAGCGGAGGGAAGTCTTTGCCAGTGAGACCTGAAATGAAGACCTGCCCTGTTATAGTCCTTGTCCCACAGGAAGGGGCCAGGAGAGCTCTTCCATATTCCTGTGAGAGCAGGGATGGGGAGGAGGGTACTAGTACTACTTTTTTTTGGGTGAAGATTGGCCCTGAGCTACTATCTGCTGCCAATTTCCCTCTTTTTGCTTGAGGAAGATTGTTGCTGAGCTAACATCTGTGCCAACCTTCCTCTGTTTTGTATGTGGGATGATGCCACAGCATGGCTTGATAAGTGATGTGTGGGTCCATGCCCAGGATCTGAACTGGCAAACCCCAGGCCACCGAAGTGGAACACACAATCCTAACCACTATGCCGCCAGGCTGGCCCAGGAGGGTACCTCTTTTTTGTTACCTATTTAAGCTGTATCCCTTTGTATCTACATGAGTAAGTCTTCCTGCATGGAGAGGGATTCAGACCAAAGCCTAAACAACTCACCTTCATAAGCCCTGCAATGCCTGGCTCCTTGCAGTTGCTGTGGTAGAAGAAGGCTTCCTCCTCCAGCTTCATGGCTCTGAGGAAGTTCCGGGCCTGTCCCAGGGGAGAAGAAACAAGAAACCATCCTTCCCACTGGCTGAAAAATACTAGCGGTTAGCAGAATCAAGTCTGCTTTTACTGGATGAGTTATTCTTTTTATGTAACTTCTCCCAATTCAATTCTTGCCTTTGCCAACATACCCAGACTTGTATCAGGACACTGGCTAGAACACAGGCCATCTGCACACTGCCTGCAGTTAGAGTACAGTATTTTTGAACATGTTCTCAGGTTTGGGTTCTGAGATAAAGCAACGCTGGCCAAGAGGTTTTGCTACCAAATAAGTCAAGAGAAGGAGGCAGGCACTTCTCCTACCCTGGATCTCCGGGTCCTGCTCTTACCTGGTAGTTGCGAACACCATCCCAGCATGCTGTCTGCTTGGGCTGTGCTTTGAGATCTTCAATGCTGAACTAGGTAACAGAGAATAAAGTCATTAAACAATCCTAGGCCAACTGGTCAGAATATATGGAAGCAGACAGTTCCTTCCCCTACACTAAGGGTGCTACTGGCTATCGCGGAAGTATGTCGTTTACGTGGAAGTAGCTCCACAGAGCCACTTCTATTGGGAGAATGGAAGGAAGCCCTGAATTACCTTGTTATCCTTGCTGATTGAGAGGATTAGGTGAATGGATAATCGAGATGAAAGTGTAACCTGCTGGCTGTCTGTATTTCACTTATTAAAACATTACATACTTCTGTAATATTTCTAATTATTCTTTCTCCAAGCATATTAAAACTGGTTTATATTCATTCTCAGAATATATACCAACTTTTGAAGGGAACTACCTAGGAGTACAGCAGGTGGCAAGAGAAATGCAACCTAAGATTGAAATGTGGCCTAGATCAGAGGTTGGCAAACTACAGCCTTCAGGTCAAACCTAACCCCATGCCTGATTTTGTTAATACTTTTATTGAAAGTCATCCATACCATTTTACATATTGTCTATGGCCACTCTCTTGCAACAGCAACTATAAGACTTGAAGACCCAAAATGTTTACTAGCTGGCCCTTTACAGAAAAAGTTCGCTGACCTCTGCCCTAGATAGAGGATTCACAAAACAGATAGTTGATGATGATAAATCCTGCTGATTTTATTCCTTGTTACCTTTTCCCTACCCTTAAGAGATTATTTGGTGATGGAACACTGTGGTGAACAATATTCACTTCTTATTTAAAAAAACAGCTTGAAGGGATTGGACACAGGGGCATGGTCTCACCTTCACGTCTACACCTTTTGCTAGCCGGCTTTCTGGCTCTGACTTCATCAGCCAGTAGCTGCTTAGATTCTTTGCACAATTTTTAGAGGCTGAAGTCTTCTGAGGGCTGGAGTTCTCCACTTTAGCTGACGCCTCACCTGGGTTCTTAGTTTGTGTACGTTTTCCTGCTGGCCCCTCATCTGCAATAGGAGAAGCAACAAGAAGAGAACTGTCATGCTGAGTGAAAACGTTCCATTGTGGGCAGAGCAGATGCTTTGGAGTGGGACGTGGATTCAAATCCTGGATCCATCAGTTACCAGCAGTAGCAGCTTAACTGCTGAACTTCAGTTTCTTATCTATAAAAATGGGGTGAGAATGCCTACCTTACATGATAGTTTCTGGATTATCCATTCAGTGGGAGAAGAATACTTACATGGTTGTGGTAGTTTCTGGATTATCCATTCAGTGGGAGAAGAATACTTACATGGTTGTGGTTTAGGATTAAAGATCCCAGCAGAGTATCTGACATATATTTAGTAGTCAGTAAATGCTGTTTTCTTTTCCTCACTCTCTTCTGTGTCTTTCCTGAGGCTATTCTCTCCAATGAGGAAACTGAGCATCTACTCCATGGACTTATTTTGAATATTAAATAAGATAATACAAACAATGGGCTTAGAAAATGCCTGGCATTATAATAAATGCTCAATAAATATTAGCCATTGTTATCATCATCTCATACTTATTTCCTTCTTGCTCACCGTGCTTTGCCTCCTGCCTCCTTTCTGCTCTTTGAAGGTGCCAAGAGAAGTTGGAAAAAACAGCTCATTCGGGACTTTGTAGACATGGTAAAGACTGGATTTTATCCTAAGAGAGTTGGAGAAATGTGCCTGGAACACAGTAGATACTCAACAGCTAACAGTTGTTAGATTCTTACTCTATGATGGACTCTAAGCTCTGTGTGTTACCCTAACCTTAACTCAGTTAATCTGTATAATTTATGAGTTGTTCTGTTCATCTAGAAAATGTGTCCCAGATTATATATCCAGGAAATGGTAGAAGGACCTGTGTCCCTCTGGTCGGTCTGAATCTACACTTAATGTCTATACTACACAGCCCCTGAATTAAGTCAAAGCTCCTATGTCAGTCATCATTAAATATCATTTATGGATGTCTAATACGCTGAACCTCCCTAGTCTAGTTTCCTAGAGGTCCTTTTGGAGGTAGCAGGCACACTGCAAACACTATGTGTTGTTAAATAACACAATGTGTTGTAGTTAATTTGGAACCCTTGCCATTCTCAAAAGAAGTACTTTAATTGCTTTGTTCCCGCTCTTCATCCACCTAGAATGCTGTTCATCCTCGTGAATATAAAAATGACATGTCCTTTTCTTTAACTGTGGAAAGCTTTCCCAT